GCTCCTCGTACTGATGAAGTCCTTTGGATGAAAGACGAAACGTTTCAACAAAAAGAAACCATCCAAAGGACCTGACTTAACTTTGTTGGATTTTTTTTACCTGGATTATTGAGCATGAACTTAGAATTGTTTTATTTTTTTTAATCGGTCTCGATGGCCGTGAATTAGTCCAAGTCCAAGCCAAAGTGCAGCCACATGTCAGTCAGACTTGTCTTTGTTTGGCCCAGGGGTTAAAAATCTGAAGATTGTTCAAATACTTTAAGCTGGTTGTGGATGTTGAGCTCATTGGATGTTTCGTCCATTAGACACCATCACGCAGGTTCATCAACTGGGTCATCCTTGGGTTTGTTGTCATTCAGGTAGATTGGTCAGTTTGAAATGGTTCAGTACAAGTTTATAAACTAAAAGAAGGAGAACAATTATTTGTAAGCTCAATAATCCAGGTAGAAACAACATAAAAGGTTAAATCATGTGATCTGGACCCGTTTTTTTAAAGCGAACGTTTTGTCTCCCATCCAGAAGACTTCATCAGTCTGCTGCCTGCCAAGCCTTCGCTGCAGTGTTTCAAGCTAAACTCCTGTTGGAATCTCAGAATAGGCTTTTCACATGTGCAAACAGGGCCCACCAGTCCCAAACTATCAATCATCATGTAAAACAATCAAATGTTTTAGGCCACACGGTCAACTTGCTACTCGCAGAAAGAGCCTGAGGACAACCAAGGTCAAAAGTGGTTCAGAAAAAAGGTTTGTAAGCTCAATCATCCACGTAGATAACAACATAAAAAGGTTAAATCATGTCATCTGGAGCCGTTTCTTTAAGTGAGAAACGCTTCAAAACAAGAAGCTTTTAGTGGTTTTTAATGGTAAAGTATTTTTAATTGGATTTTCTTAATGGGTACTTCCCTGACGCCCCTCAGAGAGGTGCTGTAGAACTGCAGCAGAGCGACATCGTCCTGTGTGTTCTCAGGCCTGTGAGGTTTGAAGACACATTAAAGCTGTTCATTCATCTCCGTGTTTTGATGTTGGGATGAATAGTTCAAACGTTTCTCTGCTTTTCCACAGGAGGTGCGTTATTATATTTGCTTTCTGCTCGGACCCCTGGTTCCACTGAGACAGGGACATTGTCTCTTTTCGTTACGTCTTGTTTGGACTGGTTGTTGGACTCTGCTCAGTTTGTGAGAAGGAACCAAAATAATCAGCTTCATTTGATTAATATCCCACATTTGTGTATTTGCATGAGGTACAAAAGCAAAAATGCAGAGTCTTAATGTCTTTGACACTTGGCTTGAAGATAAGGCTTGAAATGATCAACTGAGTTGTGATGATTATAGTTATAATAAAAAGTTTTAATAGGAGTTAAGACAACGATTGGGCTCCACAAAGAAAAGAAGATATATTTAGTCCTAATCTGGGTTATTGCTGCGTTCTAGTCCAATGAGAAGTTGTTTTAATGTGGTATGGGGAGTGGTGGCGCGATCGCTGGTTCAAAAAACATTTTTTTATCTTTTCATTTTTTACAAGCACATAAATGTTTAACAACCCATTAAAATACACCAAAATGCAGGAAACTGCATTTACTTTATTCAAAATTTTTCCCCCAGCCCATTATTTGCTTTCCAGCATTGATCAGTTTACAAATTAAGACCTGTAACCAGGTGCTGCTATGATTCTATTCAGTTGTATGTAGAGTTTTCTATAATAATTTGAAGGTGTGGCAATATATTATGTTCATTAAGTGAAAATGTAAAGCTTTAAAGTGGTTTTTAATAATGTTAATTTGCTCAAAACTAATTTTTGGAAGCTGAAATTAAAAATGTTAATTAAATGTGTCTTGAATGAAAAACACCACATTTAAAAGTATAAAAATAGTTTTAACACGTTTAAATAACAGGTCTTAAGTATTTATGTCACACAAAGATTTCCTTTGCATTAAAGAGACAAATTGAAGAAAATTATTTAATAAACATGAGGGGGGTCCCTGAAATTCTTTCTCCCCTGTAAGGGGTCCCAGAACCCCAAAATGTTTGAGCACCCCTGGGTTACAGCACATGTCACCAGTCAACAGTCATAAAAACACAGTAAGAGTTTTTATTTGTTCAAGAAACAGAGCAAAGACAGAGGAAGGACATAAATAAGCTTTGCAGTCATTTTGCCAAGATTATTGCTTTCTCGCTGCCGAATGGCCATTTTTAAAAAGTTACGAGCGGTGAAAAACTCTAAAACAAAGAGAATCACTCAGAAAGTTGTGCTGAAAACTAGTTTGTTTTAAAAAATGAGGTCTATTTTCTTTTAGGTGGAAAAAAACCCCACAAACACATCTCTAAAAACTTTCCAATATGCGCCTGTGCAGTAATTCATCCACACATAAAGTCATCATTCTGTAAGCGCCAGTGCATCCCTTCCAATAAACACATGGCTTTTTGCAGTTTTTCATAACAGCTGAATGAGCGTCTTCATTTTAGGCACATAAAAGTTGTCCATTTAGCCTCAAAGCAAGCGGAAACGTTCACTTATACGACCACAACGCATGCATCTTTCTGTCTTATCAGAAAGGAAACCTTTTCCCAGAAGGCTCAAAGCGTTATGAAGCTTCCGGGAGTAATTATGTTTCATCTTCTCGATGCAGCGGCTGCAAACTGTGCTGAGTTCTTGAAGCTGCTCCTGAGTTCATCACAGTGACATCATTTGTCATCCAGGGTCGCCTGAGGGTTGAAAACTAAGCCTGAGTTGAGATTTGCTTCAATTTTTGATTTTGTTCAACACAAAATTATTCATCGGCGGTGATGAAAGACTTTGAGCTGATCACTAATTTTCTGATGGAGTTTGACACAAAACGGATGAACCTTTCTTTTTTTTTTTGCTAAGACTGTTCTTTTGTGGAGGCTATAGTTTTATAACACCTGACAGCTGTCGTCAGTAATCAGCTGACTGTTTAATCTTATCTTTTAACTTCTGGATATAATAAAGCTCCATGACAGACTCAAAAAAAAAAAAAAAAAAAAAAAATGGCTTGTTGTATGTGTGATAATGTGGTTACATAAAGGTTAGTGCAGTTAAGAAATTTAATTTATGCTGCCTTTTATTGTAAAGTTGTTAAAATCTTTAACAACGGGTTTTAATGGGACACAGAATTTTGACTATCAAAGTTCATGCTCAATAATCCAGATGATCCAACAAAGTTCAGTCAGGTCATCTGGATAGTTTTGTTTTTGTTGTTGAAACATTTCCTCTTTCATCCAAAGGACTTCATCAGTCACATCAAACTCAGTCCCATAAGTGGCGTACTCGTACTCACTAGTGAGCCGACCAGTTTGATGGTGATTAAATGGTTTCTGGAGTCCGCCCTCTCCCCTGTCAACTCCTCTGAAGCAGCCATAACCAAAGAGGTTCAAAACATCAAAGGGTTCGTAAGTTGTCTTTCAGTTTGAGAAGCAGGGATTCAGTGCAGCTCCTGCAGCGTGCAGAAGTATCCTTTGGACAAGGCAACATTTCATCAACATCCAGCTTTTGCAGCGACAGATTCAAACTTATGCACAGATTATCAAAGGCCTGTGATGTTTCGTCCTTCATCCAAAGGACTTCATCAGTCTGAGGAGCCACAATAAACAGAGTCCCACAAATAGTGGGCCAACCAGGTTGCTGGTGATATGGTTTCTGGCGTGCACCCTCTTCCCCCGGTGAAAGTCAGTGAAACTCTAAAATAGCATGCGTGCGTGGTGTTTTAATGAAGGATCACTTGAACTGATTTGACGAAACGCGTCAAAAAAGTCCTGGTTTTCCATCAGAAAGTCACATCAAATCAAGATGACCGCCTCTGCTTGTCACCAGGCTCCTTTTCCTGCAGATTCACTCAGATCCATCCATCACCGCCTTGACTGTGAGCAGGCTCACCTCTGCTCTGACTTGACGCATGCCCCTTGCCTCGCTCCTCCTCTAACAGCGGTCTCCATGGTAACGCATGGAGGAGAGCTTAGCAACGCGGAGAGAGAGAGCGAGGGAGAGAGCATCTCTGGACCAGACAGCTTGGTGCCGTCGATGTAGCACTCAGAGGGTGGCAAGAAGAAGAGCAGCGCCATTGGCAAACCGTGAATCTGCCGTAAGTGTCTTTTTTTTTCTTATTATGGGATGTTAGGCTGCCATTTATAAGTTAGAGGGTGTCAGGTGGGATTCTTTTAGGCTGCTGCCTGAATGATGCGGCTTGTTTGTAGATGATTTATAAATCCTTTCATCGCAGTCATCATGAAGTTCCTGGTGGTGCTGGTGGGAGCCGGGGCTCTAGCCTTCCTCGGCGCCGTCATCTGCATCGTCGCCAGCGTTTACCCGCGGAAACGGGGCGCGCCTCCGGGCGACAACGGCACCCTGACGTCCGAGGCGCTGCTGCAGCTGGAGCCCGGGTCGGTGGCGCACGCCGGCCCGCTGGGCGCACTCCACGGCGCGGGCTCGTACGAGGTCGGAGGCAACGGGCTCGACCTGGAGGTCCCGGCTCTGAACGAGCTCAACCTTGGGAAGGAGACGGGAGGAGGAGGCTCGAAGCAGTTCAGCTTCAGCAGACTCATCTGCACCCCTGTACCTGTTGGGGAGTGCAGGAGCAAAGATGTGAGGCAGCAGGAGGAGCAGGAGCAGCAGGACGACGCGCTGTACGGAGCCGCGGGAGATGAAGACCTCCGGACGACCGCGGAGGAGCTCCGGCAGATGGTGCTGCGGCAGAACGACCAGATCCTCATGGACCAGAGGACCATCCGGGAGCTGACGGGGAAGCTGAGTGAGTGCGAAAGCGGCCTGGAGGATGACAGGACCGCCCCGGCGCGGAGCGTCGGAGTGTGGAGCGGGAACCGCCGCGTCATGGCCGGGGACGACGTGAGCTCGTCCGCCGCGGCGCAGCTGCAGACCGCGCGGGCGGTGGAGGAGCTGGCCCGGGCCATCATGGACCTGAAGGACCGCATAGATAAACTCGAGGTAGGTGTTTGTGAATACGGCTGAGAAACCACACCTGTTTTTATTAAGGTTTGGTTTTTTTTGACAGCATTGTTGTGACAAACAGGGGCGTCAACATGTTGGGGGCGAGGGGGGCAAGTGCCTCTTTAAATTTCCTCCCATAGACTCCCACTGCTACTTGACCACAAACAATGCGTTATTTGTTTGTTAGCAAAATATCTCATGAGTCGTTTGACAGATTTGAAGGAAACTTTCAGAAAATACCATACCATACCAATTTATTTATAGAGCACTTAAAACAGCAACAAGGCCAACCAAAGTGCTGTACGATAGAAACAAACAAGCGCAGCAGACAGGAAAATATAGATACAAATAGCAGCAGATAATAACTACATGGCCAACAGAATACAGACAGGATCAAAACAAATCACACCGTGCCAAAGCCAAGGGAATAAAAGTGGGTTTTCAAGCAAGACTTAAAGACTGTGAGTGTGGGAGCCTGCCTGACACGCAGTGGCAACTCATTCCACAGTCTTGGACCTGCAACAGAGAAAGCCCTGTCACCTTTAAGCTTACGACAGGTTACTGGAACTGAAAGACGCATCTGGTCTGCTGACCTCAGAGAGCACGATGGGACATATGGCTGCAGCAGATCAGTGAGATGGGATGGGGCAGAACAGTTCAGTGATTTAAAAACATACTTGAGTATTTTGAACTGGATTCGAAGGTGAATGGGTCAAAATCACTGAATATACAACTTCTTATGGCAGGGTGCTCATCTTGTCCGTGATTTGTTGTTTTGTGTGTGGGTGAGGGGGAAGGGGAGATGGAGACACGTCTGAGCTGCACTCTGTTCGTACCAATAGTTTTCGAGCGGAGGTGTGTGTGTTGGGGGTGGGTTCAGCGTGAGGGAAGAGGCAGCGTGAGCGTTTCTTCAAGCCTTTTAGCTAGCGCACCTCTATTGCGCCGCTAGCTTAGCACTACATCAGTGCCAACTGGGGGGGTGGGGATGCGCACAGTTCGGTTCGGTAGGTGGGGCGCTCATTTCTGTTGACAGGGTGGGGCGCCCTGCTTGTATAATGGTAGAGGCAACACTGCAAGTAATAACATTTTAGCATCAACCCCATTCAAGATGGCCGCCACAACCATCTGACTTTACGAAACACACAAACATGGCTGTAACTCAGTTTTACAGATTACGAGCTCAAATTTGATGAGGAGCTGAGCATCATCTCTAACAAACACTTCACATTGTGCAGTTAAGACATCGGCAAATACCTGCTGGCTCCAACATGGTATGTCTGTTAGCAAAATATCTCGTGATTCAACGATGGATCTCAGAGAGTAATTATTGCACAATTTCTTTGCTGAAAACGTTGGTATAGCTGTTACAGCCAACTGCGTTTGTTAGCAAAATATTTCCTGAACCACTGAACAGCTTTTAGCAAAACTCTCAGAATGTTATCATCACAGTTCATTAGCATTGGGAGTCAACACAAACCAAGATGGCCGCCACAGATAATTAGCATTAATCAACACAAAAATTGTTCTCTCAGTAATTTTGACACTTACTGTGATAAATCTTGCTGTGGTAGTAGCTGATAGTCATCCCATTAACATACTCTGAGCACTAATATAAGCTCTCACAAGGTTACACATTTTGATAGTTTAACCGAAATGACTGCAACGGCTTGTCTCGGCCGTAAAATTATTTCAGTATAAAATCCAAGCATGAAAGGGGATGGAGGCTTTGCATTCCTTCAGGGAACATTAGACTCTTCATGCTAAAGACGTAAACAAACCCTCTCTGTTTTTGTGACCAACATTAGGATTTAGAGGTGCTGCCTGCGCAGTAAAGTCTTTTTTCATTTTCTGTGCAGCACAGGCCTTTCAGCTCTGAAAAATATCTCACGACACAAATGTTCCTCGGGTCTTGCCCACGTTCCCATCGACTCTGGGGAAATCTTTCCACCTACTACTCCCCCTCCTCGTCCCCCCGTTATGTCAGCCGCCTCTTCAGCATCCAACAGCAGCATGGGGACATCCATAAAACATGAAGCTGGCTGGACAGGAAAACGGGTGGTGGTGGTGGTGGTGAGGGTGGGGGAGCGCTGGTCAGGGTTTTATTTATGTGTGTGAGAGCGAGAGAGCTGAGATTGAGACAGACACATCTCACTACACACACCCACACACCCTGCTGCATCACTGCCAGCCCTCAGTAAGCACAAGGTTGTCTCCATCAGTGTGAATTTATATCCCGGACGTCCAGGTTCAGTCCTGCCTCAGCAACTCTCCTGATATTTTATTTCGCCCGCGCAGATGTCTCATCCAACAGCTTCACCTCAGCTCGCTGCTGCTTCCCAGACGCGTCCCGCTCTCGGCGTATGCTCTGCATGCTGATCGTACAGACGTGACAGTGTCAATAGAACGGATCGTTATCAAACCACAGCGAGTGACAAGAAACAGCAGCTTGGAGTTCACGGCTCAGCAAAGACACGGAAAAAAAAAAAAAAACGGCCTTCGTGTTCAGTTTTTGTCAGAGTCGTAATTTGATTTTTAGCTTAGAAAAAGAACGAGTGTAGAAATCTGTCAGTAAAACATGAGAAAGGGATGAACGCTTGCAGGTAGACTGGTTTGATAACTTGGCTCATGATGGTGTTTGAACCTGTAGACACAAGTTCCTGTTTCTGTTCTGTTGTTTTGTTGGTTTGGCTTTTATATTTACAATGACGCTCTTAAACTATGAACGATCTTTTGCTTCTGTACAAATTGACCATAATCGATACAAAGATACAAACTCAACACTGGAGGTACAGATATTCTGGAGCATCGACAGATTATTTGTGTTATTATTTAATCAGTTGAGATTAATTTCAATTACATTTTTGATTCACAAAAAAAAAAAAAACATGCAAACACCGAACATTATTTGAGTTAGTAATGTCTTAAAAGGGGGCAGCACGGTGGCGCAACTGGTAGAGCTGCTGCCTCTCAGCGAGAAGGTCCTTGGTTCAAACCCCGGTCCAGGGGCCTTCTGGGTGGAGTTTGCATGTTCTCTCCGTGCATGCGTGGGTTTTCTCCGGGTGCTCCGGTTTCCTCCCACAGTCCAAAAACATGCATGTTAGGCTGATTGGTAACTCTAAATTGTCCCTAGGTGTGAGTGAGAGAGTGAATGGTTGTTTGTCTCTATGTGTCCCTGTGATGGACTTGCGACCCGTCCAGGGTGTCCCCCGCCCCTCGCACAGTGATTGCTGGACATGGGCACCAGCGACCCCCGTGACCCAAAATGGAATAAACGGGTAAAGATAATGGATGGATGGATGGATGGATGTCTTAAAAGGCTAAATGTTCTTTAAAAGCTACTATTTATCTTTTGAAATGTATGTGGTATTGTTTTCATTACATTAAAGGAAAAATAAAACGTAAAAGGAATGGTTTTTGACATCAAAACGTCATGCTCAATCATTTAGATTAAAAATCCAACAAAGTTCAGTCAGGTCATCTGGATGTTTTTTTTGTTGTTTGTTTGTTTTTTTGTTGAGACGTTTCGTCCTTCATCAGTCCAAGGAGCTGATGAAAGGGCTAAAGAAGTCCTTTGGATGAAGGATGAAACATCTCAACAAAAAAATAAATAAAAACCATCCAGATGACCTGACTGAACTTTGTTGGATTTAGACCTGGATTACTGCGCATGAACTTTGATGGTTTGAACCACTTTGGCTGTGGCTGCCTCAGAGGAGTCGATGGGGGAGAGGGCGGGCAAACGATCTTATTACCAGCAAACTGCTGTGGTCCAGTATAGGAGTGTGCTGCTTGTGGGATTGAGTTTGTTGTGGCTCTTCAGACTGATGAAGTCCTTTGGATGAAGGACGAAACATCTCAACGAAAAAATAAACAGTCAGATGAACTTTGTTTTGGACTTCCAGCCTTTAGTCAGTTTCTTTAACTTCAACTGATCCAATGTTTCCACAGTCCACGTATTCCTAGTAGAACGTGTTGAAATGTTTTATTCAGGACCGAACTGCAGAAACCACATTTTGTTTTTAGGGGAACCTTTTTCTTGAATTCAGTTACAGCCGGAATAGATGTAAAAACTTTGTTTTGCTACGTTTTCCTTTAAAAAGTCAAATATTTTTCTCTGTTTGTCTCTGTGAATATCAAATCTTTTTTGTCTCTGAGCTGCTACAGATGTTTTTCTTGCTTCCATTCCTCAGGCGGAGATCGGACCCGGAGCCTTGAACCTCACTGATTCATCTGCGGGTGCAAGTGGCAGCAGCAGCACGCAGACTGGAAACACTGGTAGGGCTCCAGCTCCGTCCGCCAGCAGTGGTTTCTCCCCGCCAACGGGTGCCGCCTCAGGGGGCCGTCGCCCTGCTTCTCTGGGCCCCCCTGGCTCCAGGCCGTCCTCTAAAGGTGCACCTGGGCGAGGAAAGAGCACCTGGAGGGTGGAGGATCTGGAGGGGGAACTGGAGAGGAAGATAAAAATGCTGGAGAAGGAGCGTCAAGCCATGAGGAAGGAGACGCACGGCCAGCATGAGAAGATCAACAATGGCATTGACACGGTTACACACCGGATCACGGAGCTGGAGCACAGTGAGTATGTGGGAGAAAGCAGTGGGGGGAGAAAGCTGATACACGCAGGGAAGTAGATAATTGCATCATTGAGCTAATGCACTTATGACTGAGAGAGGAGGCTGATATGAGCACTGTGGGTGAACTGGGTCAGCGCAGCAGCAGATACACTGCAGATGAGAATAAGATGATTAATGAGGGCTGAAGGCTATGAAATGTCAACCATGGATGGAGGTGAACAAATAATACAGCTGAAAATAGATTCAATTAAAATGGAATAATCTGGAAATATGGTCTGCTTTTGCTTTCCAAGCCTAAATGATCATCCTTATTTGAGTTATTAATATGCTGCCCAATATATCTTCAGTGCAGTATCATTTGTGCAATACTAATATGACAAATAATTGCTTGGACAGCAAAAAAAAAATCATTATATTGTTATAGTTTCCATAGATTCATGATCTGCATGCCAGTAATATTTTTTTGTGCTAATCAGATGGACTTTTGATGCCAGGATAGAACAGACCAAAAAACATTGAAGAAAATATTGGATCATCACAACTCAATGTAATTTTGTTTAATTACAACAAGGGACGAGTTATTTTAAACAAGTCAAAAATAAATATACGCGAGTTAGCTGCTTCTGCATATTGTCATAGCAATGGTCAACAATAACATTGAAACTCTATGTTTTTTTTATTTTTTATTTTATGAAGCCCTAGTCCAGGGGTCTGCAACCTTTGTGATAAAAAGAGATATTTTCACCACTTTGCTTAGTAATTACGATGTCCGGAGCCGCAATACCTGCTGCAACTGTGCACTGTCAACTGGTGGTCCATGGACCACTACAAGCTTGTTGGAGATGGCTTTTCCAGTCAGTGGGGGTGATATTATAAAATGAAAAAGTCTAACTATTATTAAGATTTATTGATATTTTTTTCATTTTAGTACAAAAGAAAAGACCAGCTTCATGTAAATAAATAAAAAATATATAATTTTTAACAATTTTATCAACATTAAAACACTGAACTCTGCAGGCCAATGTGAGTTCTCTTAATTGTTGAAGAAGTAAGTATCTTACTTAAAGCATAAAGTTAAAGATAGAATAAAATTTGTCCATTTTGTTGGATATTCAATTATATTTTTAAAGAAAAATAAATACTTTTGTTTACTTTGACTTTTTTTTTTTCTTAGTATCTTCAAATATTCCTTCTCGGCAGCTTGTCTTAGATATATTTCAAAACATTTTGGTGGTTTTGAGAGAAAGATCACGCTGTGAGACAGGAAGTCAACTTAAAGTATCTAACAAACTACTAGCATGATGTAGTCCACACGTTTCACTTCTTGTATTTGTACTATTCTTCACAGATTAGAAAATGACAGGAAATCTGCTAAAACTAGCCATTTTTTATTGTTGGCAATAATTTAAATAAAATTCAGTTTTAGTTTAGTTTTGGTCAAAGTCTTAAAGAGCCGCTGCAGAGGGACCAAAGGGCCACATGTGGCCCCAGAGCCGCAGATTTCAGACCCCTGACTTGGTCATTACTGATTCCTATTTTACGTCTGACAAAAGTGTGATTTGTAAATGTTTTCACCCCCCCCCCCCCCCCAATTCCAAAAATAGTAGTTAAAATATTTAGGAGAATACCGAAAGACTGACATAAACTTTTTTGGGGGTGTTTTACTGTTTTTATTACATGTGTGACTGATAAAAGCATAAGTTCTGTAGATCAGGGGTTCTCAAACTTTTAGGGTTCAGGGACCCCTTACAGGGGAGAAAAAGTTTCAGGGACCCCCTCATAACCCTCATGTTTATTAAATAATTTTCTTCAATTTGTCTCTTTAATGCAATGGAAATATTTTTGTAACATAAATAATTAAGACCTGTTCTTTAGTAGTGTTAATACAATTTTTTATATTTTTAAACATGGGGTATTTTTCCATTCAAGACCCATTTAATTACAAAGTAACATTTTTAATTTCAACTTCCAAAAATTACAGTTTTGAGAAAATTAACAGCATCAACAACCACTTTAAAACTTGACCTATTCACTTAATGAACATAATGGATGTATTGTTACTTCTTCAAATTATTACAGAAAACTCTTTACACGAAACTGAACAGAATCATAACAGCAGCAGTCAGACCAAGTAACAGAGCTTCATTTGTAAAATGATCCATGCTGGAACGCAAATAGCGGGAGGGTCCCTACACTAGATAATTTTAAATTAAGTTGATGTGCTTTCCTGCATTTTGGTGTATTTTATCGGGTTGTTAAACATCTACGTGCTTGTAAAAAAAAGTATTTTTTTTTGTGGACTCCCAAGCACTGGCTTGCAGAACCCCTGGGGGTCCGGGGACCCCAGCTTGAGAACTACTGTTGTAGATAATGGATAAACTTTTAGGTTCAAGGCCTCATTAACTATCAACATAAATTCATACAGCCCATTTTAATCTTATCGGGGTTTTACAGCGAGCTTTGCTCCTTATTATATATTTGCACCCACTGTGTAAGTTTGTAAACTGCTCCGTAATGGCCTAGCTGTTTTTTAACTCTCAGACTGTTCTGATCTTTTGCTCCAAAGCGATGACAGAGCCGCCATTCCCCGATGGCTTCGTTCTCTCCTTCCCCATGCGAACCAGCTACATGTACGGCCTGGTGAGAAAAGAGATTACTGAAATGTACGCCTTCACTGCCTGCGTGTGGCTCAAGACCAAGGAAGGAGGCATCGGGACCCCTTTCTCCTACTCCGTGCCAGGTCAGCCCAATGAGCTGGTGCTGCTGCAGGGAGTCCACAATCCTGTGGAGCTGCTCATCAATGACAAGGTACTCATGGCTGCAGGTTGAGACCAGACATTTTTGGCTATAGGATGAGTTTTGTGGTATTTTGTGTTTAAAATAAGGTGTAAAGTAAGAAAAAAAAGAGGACAAATTAGTAGGGTTTAAAGTCAAGCTGAAGCAAAATATCCTGAGAAGGAGGTTGTTTGTAGCTTATAATGACATTTCACTAAGCAGCAGAAGCTAACTGCTGTCTCATCCACTGGTTAAAATGAGATGAAACTTTCTTACAAGTGAATACGTGCCCTTTTCACGAGAGGTGAGAAAAAAAACGCATCACTGAAAATTTCCCAGCTAGTAAGATGTGAATCTGAGATATTAGCAGATTGTTTTAGGTCTACAGTGTTCGGAAAGTGCGTATTTGCTACAGATAAGATGTGAAAAAACAAACAGATGGTGCCCTTGAAGAAAAAAAATCTTTATAATGACAAAATGTAAAAAAGTGAGAAACAAACAAAAAGTAAGTAGAAATAGCCAAAGAGAATAAAAGCTTCCTTGTAGCAGTAATTTGCTACATAATTAAATGTTTTTAAAGAAATGATTTTGTGGCAGCTGTGGTTAGGGTTAGGGGCACACAGGTAATATATGTGTCATTATGGAAATATATATTTTTTTTATCTTAAAGTGCATTTACATTTTCTTGCATGGAAAGAAGTGAATGTTTGCTGTGGTAGAAAATCATTAACAAGTCCACATTCTATATTTCTTGTTTAACATCCTGTCAGAATGCCAATCTGAGTGATGAGCTAATGAACTTTAGAAGTGTGTGTGTGTGGGGGGGGGGGCAAATCTTTTTTTATAATGCATTGCATCACAGGCGCGGACAATTCTGAATCTATTTTCAAACGTCAAAAACTGATTTGTGAATTAATAATGTAATAATGAAAAACACAAAAGGCATAACTGAAACATGTGGAAGTTCAGAGGCAATCAAACACTTAACAAACATGTGCACAAGATGGCCGAATAAGATGTGTGGCTGGTGGTAGTAGTAAACAAAAAGAAGTGGTGGTGGGGAATCAAAATAATCAAAATGCATCGATAATCTGTACTTCCATTGCATCACAGCCCTCTTGAGACTCCCACCCCTAGTGAACTTGTGTTTGCACTGACAGATCTAACTGCAGCTGCTGTGACCTTTGACCTTTAGGTGGCACAGCTGCCTCTGTCCCTACCGCAAGACGATTGGCAGCACATCTGCATCAGCTGGACCCTGAGGGATGGCGTGTGGAAGGCCTACCAGGGGGGGAAGATGAAGGGAAGGGGTGAGGGTCTGGCTGCTTGGCATCCCATAAAACCTGGGGGAGTCCTCATACTAGGACAGGAACAGGTGAGATGGATTGATGGATGGACAGATCAATGGTTGGATGGATGATGGATTGATGGATGGATGAATGAATGAATGAATGAATGAATGAATGAATGGATGGATGGATGGATGGATGGATGGATGGATGGATGGATGATGGATGGATGATGGATGGATGATGGATTGATGGATGGATGAATGAATGAATGAATGAATGAATGAATGAATAAATGGATGGATGGATGGATAGATGGATGGATGATGGATTGATGGATTGATGGATGGATGGATGGATGAATGAATGAATGAATGAATGAATGAATGAATGAATGAATGGATGGATGGAT